TATGTGTGTGTGTGTGTGTGTGTGTGTGTGTGTGTGTGTGTGTGGGTTGCACTGCTGTTTTATTTTACACCAATGCCAAGAAGGGGGCTTTTCGTGGTTCAGGAATGTGCCATTACTCACCTTTAGTGTAACGATGGGAGAAGAGAACAGACAGAATAAGAACATAAAAATTGTAATAAACATGCTAATGCTAGACTATGTAGCCTGGGAGGAGCAGCTTCTAGCAGCTCTGCTATCTGTCAGTATATACTATATGCATGTATGTGCACTGGGAGAACAGAGAGAGAGAGTGATTGTGAAAGAGGGAATGCACTGATGTGCATGTGATGTGCCCTAGCATAAACAACATGGAGCATGTGAACGTGCCACCTTTCTTTTTCAATTGGCCTGTGGAGACAAGTGCAAAAGGCCTTTTGTTCACTCAAAGGTGAGATAAGAAACAAGGGATGGGGATGCTGAGAGATTTGCAAAGCCAGCTTTTTTCCTCTATAGGATGGAAGGACCTATCTCAATAGAAACTCATTTGCCATGTTGTGTAATTGTGGCCCATATTAGAGCACACCTCAGAGGCAGATTGCGTTTTTTTTCTTTTGACCATTTTCTTTACTCACGGCATTCTCTATTATGCAGCCTTTTAAGCTTCTTTGAATGGACTATTTTGTGTAATCAAGATAAATTTTCACTCAGTGTTTATTTTAAAAATAGGAGCTGTCAACCCAGTTCATATTTGTTATTTGACTTTTATTTTCACTACTAAACCATTGTAAGAGGAGCAGATTCTTTCTTGCCCTGATTGCAGCTCTTTCTAAAAAGGAATTGTTTGGCACTCTGTGAGAGATACTTGCATCAACTCAACCTATGACTACAATGTGACTATAAACAGTACAATTAATCATGTTAAAGTACATGGCCTTATTTTCTGAATGGTCAAATGAATATCAAAGCAGAGAGATGAAAAATGACTGATTTGAAAATTATTGCTGCACTTTTTCATTAACCACTGCAGGTAAGGAATAGATGGTTATTTGCATAATTTAACTGGCATCTTAATTATTGTCAGAAATGTGTATGCAAATGACTTAAGTCACTTAAAAATGGCAACTTATTGGCTAATGGACTAAATCTTATCGTGTCCACACACACAACGAAGACATTTCTCATCTGGGTTGACTGTGATGTGTAAAAACAAATAGACTAAGGGAACCACACAGACGAATCCAGCCTTATCTGGCTTAGAGGGCGGTGTTGTAGCATGTGTGCGGTATCTGTGTTTGCGTGTGTCTGTGTACATCTTCCCCTTGAGGGCTTTCAAAGAAAAACCTACCACGTAAAACAGTGAGTTTGGTGGTAGCGCTGGTCTCTCCAACACTGTTGGAGGCAACGCATTCATATATGGCATCATCTCGAGGCGTGCGCAATGGCTGAATTCTTAGCACTGAACCAGAGCCGTCATCGAACTCGATCACCTGCAGGTGCGAGAGACAAGATATGTTAAAGGAGATTTTTTTGTTCACAATGCGTGAGGGACCTTCAGTACAGACAGAACAGAACAGAACGAACACTGCTGATATCATTTAGCTAACAACATTAAATGGTGACTGATACAGGGTGCTTCCTATGGCTAAAAACTAAGGTAAATGCCTATGTTATATCATTAGCTAGTGATTTGTATAGTACGTTTGGTTTTTAGTATTAGATTAAATGTGCTGTTTCCTAGAAAATAATTTACAGCACATGTGCAGGATAGACATAATCTGTTGGAAATTATGGCTGACTAACTTTAAGAATGGGGTGAGCTGTCTGTTGAATTTGTTTTACTCATCTGAACTCGGAGAGTGAAAATTTAAGTTAAATGTGTCCCACTCTTAAAGTTAACATTCTATATCAACTATATGGATCACACTGGATTGTGTTAATGGGACAGAAACAAGCACAGACAATTAAAGGTGGCTTGATAAACAGGTACGGACATTTGTACCATGAAGTGAAAGAGTGGTACGAAAAAGACAAGGTCCACTGTATTGGACGGACGACACATAAATGCTCACAAACAGGTGTTATTTGTAGCTTATTCAGCTATGTTAGCATGCTCCATGTTGTATACTCACTGAGTTTAGAAAGCCCTGTGTCATAACTCTCTTTTAAGCATAGAGGTAGATTTCAATAAACACTGGCCTGTGTTCTTACTCGCAAGCACACTCTCATTTTATCACACACAGTAATACACAGGCCTCATTTTCTTTGGAAATTCACAATACAACTGTACATTTGTTGGTAAAAAATATCACTTTAATACTTTTTTGGCAAAGCTAAAGCTGCGATGGTTTGGTGTGGAAGCTGAGAGCAGGTAATGGAGTGGGAAACAGCCGTCATTTCTTAGTTATAAAGCTGAAGAAAAAAATAAAATAGGATGTTGAAAGATTCCAAAAAGGAAATTGGTTTTGATTAGAATATAAGGCTGCAGTAAATTATTAAATGGTTATGGAATGTCATCAGCCAGAGGGCCCAGTGGGGCACTGAGATAATGAAAATATGTGTGTTAGCATTCAGCAAAACATACGATGCAAAAACGTGATCAACTCTGATAAGATTAGATTTCTGTTGGCATGAAGCAGAACCAAAAGGTTTGAGTTCTGTGATTCGTCATTGAGCTCATGCTTCTGTGGGATGGCAGGCAAATAAGGCCTCAAGAGTGAGGAGAAAAAAAAAGTGGCACCATGATAATCCCAAGAAGTGACAGAAATTAATAGAAATCTTATCAGTGTTCAGCAAAGATGTGTTATTACGCATGAGGATAGAGCCCCAGCGCAGATTAAAGCTGACCAGAAATCAAAGCTTCAGCCAAAATAGGGAGGAGAAAACATGCATTAAGATAAAGATGCCACGAAGCAAAAGAATTCTGAACTAAGAGCATTCCCAAATCTCCATGAAGCCAGCCAATGTGGTGTGATCATCTGGTAGGTATCTGGGTCACACAAGATATTTTCATTGAATGGCTTTCTTTCATTTGACCACATATCTGTCCATTGCTCTTTTGTTGCACTTGCTCATTAAAACTCATGCATGTTCAAAAGGCTGGTCAGCGTGATTATTAGAGCCTGCTAATGCGTAGTGGCAAATCAGGGGTGAAAAATGAGTGAGTGGAGCTTGGCAAAATGGATTATGGGCAAGCAGAGCCAAAAGCGGTGATGAAGCATTCCCATTTTGTCGAGCATTTTACATCAGAACAATAGACCTAATACCTCAAATCTCTGGTTGCTGACTTTCTTCCCCTTCTTGTTCCACACAATCTTCGGTCGTGGATCTCCCGTAGCCTGGCAGATGAAGGATGCCACACCACCTTGCACGCCTGTTTGGTCATTGGGGGTTCTTAAAAACTTTGGTGGTGCTGCAGAGACATACACAACAGAATAAAAAGATAACAAAACTAGTTAGTAAGCAGGCTAAACCTCATGGACAGAGTGATTATTCTCTCTTATCAAGCCACACACACACACTAGAAAATAAGTAAGTTGCAGATTTTAGCAGGTGGCTAAGAGGACTGCCTTTAGAGGTCAAGACAAGTGATTGTATTGACTTTATAGTGCCAGCCCTAAGCAATGATCAATGACTAAGACCACAAAACGGACAGAGGATTTGTATAGTGTAGGCGACAGTATTTCGGTGAAAATAAAAGCAAGCGAAAGCGAAGCGAACATTTGACAATCATGACTTCTTAGACAAAAAAGCTAATAATGTGGATGATGGAGGTAAAAATTGCAAAAGGGTAACAGAGGATGGTCCTCTTTAAAATCTCTCTAACTCGACTGGGTCTTTTTTTGTGTTGCATCTGGTTCAGAGGTTTTTGTTTAACATCTAGAATTGAATCAATTCAAATAATTTAGTTGTTTTCCCCATTTCTCCCCCTCTAAGATAATTATTTTCCACCCCTGATATTCAAACTGCCCACAACATTGAGATGATTGTTAATCTCGGCAACCCATCTCTGCCTAATGAGAGTTTGCTGGTGAGATTTACAGTGCACTCCAGATTTTATCATAACAAACATGGCTTATAATTTCAAATGATGTGTCGCTTCAGTGTCAAACCCCTTCACATTCTCCTCTGATGCTTGAGTGCCAGCTTCAGTGGGAGGTGTAGCTCCATCTGTCCCCCCTGCGGAGCAACTGTTTGCCTTTTATCAATCACGTCTGTGGGCCATTAGTGACCACACAGCTGTAGTATTGCCAACCATCTGAATTACATCATCTGTGTGTGTGTGTGTGTGTGTGTGTGTGTGTGTGTTTGTGTGTGTGTGTAGAGAGAGAGAAAACATGGTTGCATGTTTGCGTGCCTGCTTGTGTGTAGACTGATATCGTCTCCAGCAGCAGCGGCAGTGGCACTGAGAGTGAGGGACAAATTAACCTGAAGGATTTGTGGAGAGTTGACATAAGATGTGTGGTCAGCAATCAAAAGGAAGAACTGATAAACAGGCTTGCAGCTGTGCCTCCACTGGGCAAATGAGTCTGGGAAAGCACCTGATTGCCTCATGACAAGCCCACAGTCTTGTATTCAGCACCTTGTTTCCAGACACACATACACACGCACTCACACGTGAGTCTTTTCCTCAGCTGCTGGCAGATACGACAGGTGGGCAGAAGAGTTGACACTATGTAATTTATACATGACAAAAAGTACCATTATATCTGCATTTGCACCTTATCTCATTCACTTAGCTGAGTTGGGGTGCACATTGGCATCTGGCCAGAAGGGTGCTGATGGGTAATTGATATGCTATTGGGGCTGTTTTGGCTTCAGGGCCATCCATTACGGCTCAGTGCATATTCCAACGCCGGCTGTGATGGACTGTTACGACATGTACAGGAGATCAGCGGCGGAGGTGGGGGGTTTAGGGTGGAGGAGAAGTGGTTGGGCATCACGCAGCGTGGAGTTACTGAGGCATGACGCCGAGGTAATGGTGTTTTCACAGACATAGCTGCTGATATCACCATCATCCCCCCACATGTTAGGTTTGGATGCTGACAGACATTCATTTTGGTCCATACCTTGTATGGCTGCAGGTAGAGACATTTCAAATAATGCCACAAATAGCACTTTAACACTAACAAAACAAAGAAATCTCAACCATGTGAAGTCATTACAACAGTAAATGGCCTCTCTCTGTTTACCACTTGATTGTGTTGAATAAAACACTGTTCATTTGTTTTGTCTCAAGTCATGCAAAACAAATCTCTGCAAATCAAAATCCCACACATTCAAAAACTTGTTTTACCTTTGCCGCAACCTGGCGTCTCCTCAGAGAAGTAATCGTAATCTCCTTGAAATAAAACCACTGCAAGTCACCTTTTAATCCGCTGCTAAGCTTTTGCCGGCAAACAAATTAGGAGTGTAAACCCTGTCACAAGTAAAAAAGGTTAGGGACATGGGCCCTGCACCCGCTCTCTGGAGGTCATTATGTAACCTTGTTTCCATTTACTGCTCGGTGAAAAGAAGACACACTTGGTAGCATCACGACACAGTATTTGTCATGGATCAATGCCATGTTAATAATTTGGCTGTCGACTGAGAGCTTTTAGAACCTTTAAGATCGTCCAAGTCTACAGGGCTGAGGGGGCAGACACTCGCAGAATCAGGCCTATTAATATTTATATCAATAGAACAAACAAAAATATATGTATATATATATATATACACCTCATTTTTTGTTTGTTCTGTTTTTGATGGTACACAATAACGGAAATTGGTAGCTTTTCACACCAGTGCACCAGTGCAGAATATGGAGTTTATTGGTGTCTTTGCCACCATATACAATTCAAACTCATGAATTCAATTCAGACTCATGAATTTTCAAAATGTTGAATCATTAGTTAGTGTTCACATAATATTCTCCCACATTTTTGAAATGGTGTATTTTTCCCATTATATTACATAGTTTAGCGTTTCCTGCCAATTGCCTATTAATTTGAAATGATGTAATTATGGAAAAGTCATACACATTTATATTTACTCTATTTTTCATTCTTAGATGGCCAACTACTGTTTGTCTTTTCAATGAATGAAAAATTACAGAGTAAATTTAAATATTATTGACATACAGATGTGAGCCAGATGCGGTGGGTTCGCAGGCCTAAAGTGGCCCCAAAGCCGGAGTGAGTGAGTTTGACACACTTTGTTTTTGCCTTTGTTTTGTTATTAATTATACCAAACTAATAGACCAGAATATATATTTATGATATCATGGTGACATTTGTGTGCTAAATTCAGAAATATTATTCAGGTACCACATTATATATTATGTAAGTCTGACTATTGGTCCAAACATTCCTAGTTGTCAGCCTTCTATCATAGACTTCTGTGATTTGCCAAGCCATTAAAGAGCACCAGTCAAAGAATGGGAAGAAGACTATTAATGGATCCACTTTTTACCACCATTGGCCACAGACTGTCCAAGTCTGCTCAGTCTTTCACAATTACACTGACTGACATATTCAATTTCATTTGCATGAAAGAGGCTGTTTCGTCCTACTCTAAATTGCTAGGCGATGTGGGTTTCTGGAGGGTGATAATTAATCCTAACACATTGGGTGTCAGCGAGCAAATACCCTGCTCCATCTTGGACATGAGGTTGAAAGAAAGAAGCTTTTGAAGATGCATTTAAGTTCTTAGAGCATCTTTAAGCGTGGCTATATCTTTTGAGGTATATTTATGAATTTGTAGTTCCAACGAGAGTGGGATCTGGACTGATTGAGGTGAAAATGTGTTGTTAGATGAAATAAAAATAAATAAATTGGAAAAGATTGGTTTCTTTCATGATAGTAAATGCATTTACATGTGTGGTGTGTGGAGCAACAGCTTCTCTGTAGATTAATTAACTCTCTGTTCCCTATTGAAAAGGCCTGACCTCATGCCAAAACCAAAAAACATTTTAGTAATGCAGGCAAACAGTTGCAGCGATAAACAACGCAATATATACAAGAAAAAAAAGAGAAAGGGATAGAGAGAGAAAGAGAGCAAGAGAAAGCAGATAAACCACACATTCCAATCAATGGAACAAACATAGGCATAAAGCATTTTCTTTGGGGCACTACGCAGCCTCTATCTGCTGCGTTATGATAAAAAAATCCGTCTTTTGTGATGCAAAGGAAACAAACTCCACATTGTATGCGCCCACAAAGGGTCGAGGCGGAAAGAAAGGAAAGGAATTGGTGGTTAATTAGAACTGTTGGCTGATTTGCATGGCATGCTCATCAGTAATCTTGCCTTAAATTGAAACTGAAATTCTTATTGCAATTAGTGATTACTCCAAAAGGGATATGGCCCCCTGAATTATTGTTAATTACTGGATCAGGAATAGTACATTAATTCACTGCAGAGGTTTTAATGCAGTGCAATGATGGGTACGCGCGCTTCCATCAATACTGCACTGCTTGTCACACATAATGAAGTTCATAATACAAGCCCTTGACTACTCTGTCCCCCTGTGCACTTCGAAACTGCTTAAATGTGCCCCATAAGCAAAATCTTTAAGAATTATTATTAAAAACCAATCCAAGAGAATATATAAGAATGGAGCTTAATGACACATTAACATTGAGACTGTATATGGATGGTGGGATGCAGAACTTTAGGGTCAGTGCTCCTGATTTGGCTCAGAATTTGCTGTGAGTCTCCCATAAATAACTAGTGCATGGCGTCATTTACTATAAAAGATGATAATAGTGGGGAATGCATTACAAAACGTAATTCACCAGTTACACCTTCTTTGCCAAAATAATATGACTGCAAAAAATAATATCTGCTGTGACTTTCCCTAACATCGGTCAGTGTGTAATGCTCATGCTGTGTGGCATTGCAAATCAAGGTTCAGGCTTTGGGCTTTCAGCATTTGGTACAGACAACAGCCTCAGCTTCAAAAAGAATGGCAAATCCACTTGTCCCACATGCACTGACAGGGACTCTGACAAGAGGAAAGGGGAAGGAGGAAGTCTCCTCAGTAGTGTGAGCACAACTTATCAAGCACATGAGCGCACATGCAGAGAAGAATTCGTATGGGTGATAAATAATTTTTGCTGAATGAAAGGGAAACATTAACAATTGAACAAGAGCAGGAGGAATTTTTGTACTTCTAAACATACAGTGAAAACTACAATCTGCTTTTTTGGTAACAAACCAAACATTAATAAACATGTCGGAAAACCATGGGAAATCATTGACTTCAGTGGGTCTGAGCTAATCTTGCCTTGGGTTTTCATTGGTATTGAATGTTGAAGTCAACATGTGGTACAAGGCCACACAGAACGTTTTATTTGGATGGTTCTGTTTTGTTTTTTTCACCTTAGTCTTTGTAGTATTTTCTTAAGAGAACTGACTCAGTTACAGTTTTTCACT